TAGTACATATTCAGGATAGAACACACTATTGTAAGTTTTGTTGAGATATTTTTGTATTTCTAGCTTGTATTTTTTATGCCGTGGTGACAAAAAAGCAGATTTAGGTGTTACGGCTTACTTTTGGGTTAATGACAGGACACAAACACCCCATAAATAATATTCAGGAAGGATCGATGAGTTTCAATGACTGCGAAGAGTAAATATAAGCACTTCTTAACAATTTAACTTACAAACATGCAAATATTATGAATTAATTTTGTATTCAGGACTTTAAGTAAACTATGCATACTGTAAACTGTGAATTTATGCTGAGTCATCATATCTAAGGCCCAGGATTATATCAATCTTCATGAAATATTTATAAAACTTCATATTTGAGTTAATTTCTTTAAAATCTGTGAGATAAAGAAAATTTGGTTAAATTCTGAATGTTCTCTTTTTTCACCCTATATAGGTTGCATTTCTGTAAATATTGGCAATGCAATTTTCCATAGGAACTCCTTTTACGGCTAAAACTGTACCACTTTTACTATGAAGTTTTGAACAAAATCTTATCCTAGAATTGAAAGTTCATATGCACTACAATTTTTTTCAAAGGTCAAAATATAGGGCTGTGCGGCATATTTTCAACGTTTATATGCCCTGAACTTTTCAGAGTTTAAACTAACACTAATTTTCTTAACTACCCCTACCTCAAATGAAGGGTTACCACACCCCTACCTCAAATGAAGGGTTACCACAGATTTCAATGTAAACAATATGCACATGTATATTTACTGGTAACATTCCCAAGTTATGTCTCTATGAGATGAAACACAGAGAGCATAACTAGGAACCAGTATGTAAACAAAATTAATTTTCTATGAATATTCTAAATCTCCCAAAAAGAGGCGTGGTTTGAGAAACAGCTGTATTTACAAAGTGCAACCTTCAGTGATTCCCTATATAATCAACCAAATTTTTCCCACAAAAAGCCCCGGAAAATTATACAAACACAGTTACAAGTCTAATGATTATCGTTTTATGAACTACACTAGTTAGTGATCCTTCTGCAGTAATTTCGTCAACTTCTCAGACAGGGCCGTTTTTAACCCTTCGTGGCCCTACTCCTTTTTTTTCTATTTTAATTGATTTTAAAGAAGAAAAAAAAATATATAGAAGTGATATACAAAAAGCTCAACTAAGCAAATATGTCAAAACAAGGAATTGAATATTTTCCAAAAGATAATAAATGAGAGGTCATAAATGTTTCATATTGAAAAATACTTAATAATGATAATTTTATGTAGAAAAAAAAATAAATAAATATAAATAATAATAATATTAATTATAATAATAATAAAAAATAAAGTGTACAATTCCCATAAATACTATTATTTTTAGTGTGTTAGTAAAATATTATATATCAAGACAATTCCCTATTTCCATTCTCAATTTTAATTAAATTTCAGGTGAATCTTTATCTGTCAGCACAGTTAAAGTACAAAGCACTATCTAGTTTATCATCATCACGACGTCTATTAATCAGTTCCATGTTGCATTTTGTAACATCATCAACTAATCTAAAAGTACATTGTTTAGGCATGTTTTTCTTTTCTTTCATTATGCGGTATTTAACTTCAGATTTAAGGAGTTTTACAATAACTGGTCCATGTCCTCCTTGTTTATCTGGTATCCTATGATTAGCTTGGATGTCCGCAGGTCGAATGGTAACCTTCAAAGTGTCTTTAACGATTTTATTTTTAAAGATCTCTCAGACATTTCAGATTGTCATCCTTGTTTTCTGGGGAGTGTATCACATTTTTGTTGAACTTTCTGCCATACTGCAGGTTATAGTTAGACATTTGTAAGCTTGTGTGGCTATAATGACATTATCTTTTATATTTGTCTGAAGTTCATGGATCATTTTTCTTTGGATAGCAATTAACTTTCTTAAGCCTTCATACTCTTTTGACAGCTCTTCAACAGCTTTTGTCTCCTTATTTGTCTTATCTTTGAAGTTACCTTCTATTTCTTTTTTCATGCTGTCAACCAATTTAGTAACAATTTAGGTCACTATTGCTTCCAAATCATCTTTTTTTTACTGTTGTTATTCAGTGCTTTTGTCAGGCTTTCCTTTATATTACCTAAATCATGGTAGAGTTTTGACAATTCAATTGTCATATCTGCACTACTATCCATTGAAACATCTGTATAAGTTCTTTTAGCTGGATTTCCGATGTCACTACCTTTTTTAGCTGCCAGCAATGTTTGTACAGTTTGTACATTTTTTTGTCACCTTTTTTATCACTGTTGTTAGAGTTTCCACGTGGCATTGTTAAAGTAAAGAAGTGCTTACAAATCATGCAAATCTTAGCCCAAAAATACTCCAGACAATTAAATAGAAGACTACAAATTGTAAACAGTGTTATTGAAATGTTTTCACTACACTTTTGAAAAAACCTTTCTTCAAAATTTCTAAAGTTCAAAATCCAAGTTTTCTGAATAAAAGTTACATCACTGTGTAGAGATAATTACACTGAACATCCTGATATGAATATCATGCATTAGTTCTATCAAAAATAACATAAAATTGCCAAAAAACTGCAGAGCTTAAAACTCAGTTGACTACCTGGGCGGCCATCTTAATTAATATTTCATGTCAGTGCTCCATTGAGAGTACATCTAGAAGAAAAGAATATGTGGTGTTGCGAAAAAGAACAAGACATTAGTTTTAATAAACTCAAAGACATTGCCACGCGCCTATTCTATCCTACTATCTAAAACAGCAACTAACATTGAGTGTCGATACAACCTCAAAAGGCTTAGGTTCCGTGTTACTCCGAAATGACAAGCATATTGCCTATGCATTAGCAGCACTAACTCCAACTCAGCGAAGATATGTCAAGAATGTACTTACAAGAAACAGTAGAAAAACTGGTACCAGATATAGAAATTATTGAGATTCAGTTTAATGCTCATCTTCCTATATCACCTGAGAAATATGAACAGTTCAAAAAACAAACAGAAATTGATGAAATTATGCAACGGTTAAAGAAAACGACCAAAGATGGATGGCCACAGAAAAAAAGAAGATTTACTAGACGAAGTGACACCGTTTTGGCAGTTTAGAAATGAAATAAAATGCATTGATAATCTTATGTACAAAGGACTAAATCTTATAATTCCAGAAAATTTACGCAAAGAAATGTTACAACTTATCCATGAAACACATCTGGGAATCGTTAAATACAAAATCAGAGCCAGAGAGTTCATGTATTGGCCTAGAATGATGTCCGATATACAAGACATTGTAAAAAAATGTGAAACATGCGCATTAACAACAAGAAAACTAACAACAAGGAACCTATGATAACTTCAAAGCTTCTAGATAGACCTTCTTCTAAAATAGCAGCTGACTTGTTCCAATTCAAAAAAGCAAAGGTCTAGATTTGGAAACATTGATCAGTTGATCACAGACAATAGTCCGCAATTCTTTAGCAAAGAATTTGCACAGTTTGCAAAAGAATATGGATTTGTTCATACGACAACTAGTCCACATTATCCACAAGCAAATGGACAAGCAGAAAGATTTGTACAAACAGTGAAAAATTTTATCAAGAAGAGCAAAGATCCATACAAAGCCATATTGGATTACAGGAACATACTGTTAGAAGAAATCAAACTATCACCAGCACAATTGCACATTGGACGACGTCGAGTCTTCCAACATCAGCGCCACTGTTGAAATCAATTTTTGTAAATGAACAGAAAAATTAAAAATACTACTAGAACTAGTATATAATAAAAGACAACAAACTCAGAAAACCGTTGAGAGAACTTAAACACAACGAAACAGTTATGATTCAACCATTTAACAGAAAGATTGTCCGAAAACATGAAACACCTAGATCCTATATAGTTGAAACTCTTGGAGGTAACCGCCTAAGAAGAAACCGTAAATATCTTAAAACAACAAAAGCAACATTTCAACCAGAAATTGAAATTGAACAGAATTATTTGGATGTAATACACCTCAACAAGAAATCCGAAATGATCCTATCACTGAAAATTTCAAACAACCAACAGAAGTAAACAAACCCGTTCAAAATCAGGAATTTCAAATATAAGGCGAATCCGTTGAACCAACTTGCAGCACAAGATCAGTAAGATCCATTAAAGTGCCGATCAAATATAATGATTATGTATGCAATTTAATCAGTGTAAATTCAGGAGGAAAGGAAATTTATGTATAGAAAATAGCTAACATAATAGCATTCTTCTATGGAAAATATACGAAAGCAAGATAGCAAAAATATGTGCATCTAAAATAAAATCAAATATATATAGGGTGTGAAATATCAATAATGTTGTGAAGAAAGTGAGAATCTAAGATATCAAGTGAAAAAAAATCTAAGATATCAAGTGTAAAAAAAGTTATGAAGTGAAGATCTAAGATATAAAAATGTCAAATTATTGAAAGTTCTGAAATATTTTTTTGTCATATCATTTAGTAATTCTAGTCAGTATATCTAGTCATATTTTTATTCCATACTCAGTAGAACATTATTTTAAAGGAGACAATTTTTGCAACAAAAACATAAAGATTTAAGAACTGACAATTTATATCATAAGTGAAATCAATTAAAACTTTATTAACAATGATTAAGATGTGACAATTCAAATTTTAATAGTGAAATCCAGTAGAACTTTATCTATATTGCAAACATTGAAACAGACTTTATTCTTAAAGAAAGAACTGTAATCTAATTTAATTTAATTTGAGTTGAACAGCAAACTTACAAAGAACATTTTTCAAAAAAGGGGGGATGTCATGTATTGGTCTTATATTGTATTAGGTTATTAGATGTATCTGTATGTTGTACTCTCTTATCTGAATTCTTTAAACATAACTACCATGCTACACTGAGAAATATGATAGCTGCAAGCGAGTGGCTGCTAGCTTGAGCCTAGTCTTTTACTATAAATGACCAAATTACGGATTAAAATACACGTGTAAAGGTACGCAGACAACCTTTACGTAAATTTTGTTTACCTTTTCTTGTCGACGTACGAATATGGGACAGTTATTTCATGGCACATTTGTAACGATTTTTAATATAAGCATGGATTACATTTGTTATCACTGGATTTATACTTTATTTTGCATATACGGTTGGATTTTTATAGATGTGCAAAACGTACAAAATTGCACTTATTATTGTCAATGAATTGATATATACATTTTTGCTCACAACATTTGCTGGGAAAAGTCGTTGTACTTTCCATCAAAAGAAAATGAGGAAGATACATTTTATAGAATATCAGATGTATACTTAGTTCATGTTCATTCTTCTCGAGTGTATATGCAATTTCTGTAAATATAGTGTTGACAAAGAAAAATGTTGGATTTTTTTCCTGGAATTATAATAATACTCAAGGAAGATGGATATACATGTATGAGGTCTGCGCACCGGTACCGTAAGTAAATTATGTTATATTAAAGTATTATCACAATGTACGCTGCATGTATTTCATTGACTTTGTTTTTATTTCATAACAGAAAAACTAAAGATATGGAGTATCCATCCATGACACAAAATCAATTCATGCACAGTGAAAAAAAGACCACACAAAATAAGCAAAGCAACAGCGCTTTTATTGCTGTTCTTCATCTCAAAGCCACAGTAAGGTCTTCAACACGGAACAAAAAAAACTCTCACCTCACTGCAAGTTTAAGACGGCCCCTAGCACCGGCTTGAGCGGAATTCTTTGCAAACATAATTTGGATAAACTTTGTAAGGTGTTATAACACCACTTAATCGGGCCCGGTCAAAAAAGAACATACTGGAAAGTAGTACATATTTAAAAAAAAAATAGTTCCTACGTATAAGAGGTAATCTTAAACTATGTAGTTAATATTTTAATAATTAAGGTATCAGATGAATTTACTGATATTTTTTATTAATACAAAAATGTATTTATATGAATTCTAAAATTGAGGGCACATATATAGCCTGTGTCTCAGATATAAAGTGCCTGGTCTGATGTATCCAAAATTCAAGGAACCAGTGCAGTACGGTCTGATGTTTAGATACAGGTATATTGATCTCGCTTGGATAAAATGGTGACATTATTCAAATATAGTCTCGGATATAGTTCTATGTTAATTTAGAATTCATATAATGTACTGTACGTCCCGTAACATTCTTTGATGTATATCGGCCATAAAATTTATGGTGACCTTGATGGCCCTACATGTCGAACATATGTTCACCTTCTGTTTGATTGATAAACGAGGTAATCATAGGGTTAAATGTCCCCAGTAAAGCATACAGGAACGTGCCAAGTGTACAGGATGACTAATTTAATACATAAAGCAATCACAGGTCATGCGTAACAGGTGAGGCATCTCAGGTAAATCATAATTACACTATGTTCAAGGTGTCAAAGTTGATGTGTTTTGACAGAATTCTGCATAAGCTGTTATTATAATTATAAATTTCTAAATCAGCATATTGATTTAAAATTATATCTTTATTTTACTTTTCAGGTCTGTCTGGCAAATACGAATGTGTTCACGTATTAGTCAAAATTTTGTTTTCTCGAAAGACATAATCTATAGGAAAATTAATTTAGAAAAAAATAATTGCAATTATAAAGAAAAATATTATATTTCAGAATTGAGTTGTGAGATAAAGACAGAAAACTGCGTATATACATGCGATAAATAATAAATATAGACTTTAGGGCAAAGCAAAAAGTAATATTCAGAGTATATGGGTTTACTTGTATATATGAGACACAAATGAATAAAATACATTTTATGTTATTTTCGGTATTTTTAGCAGCAAACAGTGCCGTTTTTAGTTTTTGACATATGCAGAGCTCATTAATTATGCAGGAATGTGCTGAATAGTTAAGAACGATGACCTAGACCTTGAATAGCGGCAGTCAGCATATGAAAAACGAACCTTTTATTTCGTTATAACAATCGAGTTCATTTCTTATCTTTTCTCTTACTAATATAAATAATTTCCCACTTCTTAATTTTCATATATCTCTTAAATAATTGTTCTTATTTGTCTGGTGCTTCCTTTATCTGATTTTTTTTCACGTATGCAAATTAGACAGTGTGGTGTTGAGGTATGGAAGGGGCAGTATTTATTTTTAGAACTTGTTCACGTTTCTCACGCATGTTTATGTAAACGGCTAAACTCCTCTGATGATTCCGGGTACGTTCATCTAAAATACATTGTTTTTGGTAAAAATACCTTTTCATGATTGCTCTTGCAGTTTATTGACAAAATTATCGAGTGTTGAAAAAATCAGTGTACTCGTAATTGATTTAAAGTATAAAATGTTTATTTTATATATTGTCTGTCCATTGATACATTTTCGGTAGCTCAACTCATGTAACATTTTGGATTTGTATTTTAAATATTTTGTCTTTATTATTCACTCTAAATTAAATATATATAAGATGTCATGTCATGCCTCTTAGCAAGCTGTTATTTTTGCTTCAATTTTACTGTTATAATTTAAATTTAAAAGTCGCTGATTGAAACTTAATTGCCGAGTAAACAAACTACTGACTGATTGACCAATAAAGCACCTGTTATCCAGTGGATCAATTGATTAGGGACAATAAAAAAAAATAATTACATTAAGCTAAAAGTTACAATTTTTCACTATTCCTTATAAATTATAGATATTGATGGGAATATAAATTTATCTCATATTTATTTATCTACACTATTTGACAAATTTGCTACAAATGTAATTAATATGATAATTCGAGGTCAAAAATATAACTTACAATTGTACATGTGCATTGATGGTGTGCAATTCTTGCTATTAACATGGTCAGAGACATATAATATAAGAGATTCGCAACTCGGCGAACTAACATAATACAACAATCTTTAATCTATCGCTGTATCATGCCAAACCTTAGAAGGTAGCATGGAAACTTACTACAAACTAATATGATTGTCAATGAACTATGGAAGTTGTACTATTATTCTAGCAAACAACCTTATGTCATTACTATATCATAGTCCTAAACATACATGAAATATTTGCCACTGGATGCTTAGCAACTAACAATCTTTAATTTATCGCTATATCATGTCAAACCTTAAAAGGTAGCATGGAAACTAACTACAAATTAATATGATTGTCAATGAACTATGGAAGTTATACTATTATACTAGCAAGCAACCTTATGTCATCACTTGATCATAGTCCTAAAGATACATGAAATATTTGCCACTGGATGCTAAGCAACCAACAAATCTTCAATTCATCGCTGTATCATGTCAAACCTTATAAGGTAGCATGAAAACTAACTACAAACTAATATGATTGTCAATGAACTATGGAAGTTATACTTTTATACTAGCAAACAACCTTATGTCATCACTAAATCATAGTCCTAAAGATACACGAAATATTTGCCACTGGATGCTAAGCAACCAACAATCTTTAATTTATCGCTGTATCATGTCAAACCTTAGAAGGTATCATGAATACTAAATACAAACTAATATGATTGTCAATGAACTATGGAAGTTATACTATTATACTAGCAAACAACCTTATGTCATCACTATATCATAGTCCTAAACATACATGAAATATTTGCCACTGGATGCTAAGCAACCAACAATCGTGAATTTATCGCTATATAATGTCAAACCTTAGAAGGTAGCATGGAAACTAACTACAAACTAATATGATTGTCAATGAACTATGGAAGTTATACTTTTATACTAGCAAACAACCTTATGTCATCACTAAATCATAGTCCTAAAGATACACGAAATATTTGCCACTGGATGCTAAGCAACCAACAATCTTTAATTTATCGCTGTATCATGTCAAACCTTAGAAGGTATCATGAATACTAAATACAAACTAATATGATTGTCAATGAACTATGGAAGTTATACTATTATACTAGCAAACAACCTTATGTCATCACTATATCATAGTCCTAAACATACATGGAATATTTGCCACTGGATGCTGTATCATGTCAAACTTTAGAAGGTATCATGAAAACTAACTACAAACTAATATGATTGTCAATGAACTATGGAAGTTATACTATAATACTAGCAAACAACCTTATGTCATCACTATATCAGTCTTAAACATACATGAAATATTTGCCACTGGATGCTTAGCAACTAACAATCTTTAAATTATCTCTGTTACATGTCAAACCTTAGAAGGTAACATGGAAACTAACTACAAACTAATTTGATTGTCAATGAACTACGGAAGTTATACTATTATACTAGCAAACACCCTCATGTCATCACTATATCATAGTCCTAAACATACATGAAATATTTGCCACTGGATGCTAAGAAACCAACAATCTTTAGTCTATCGCTGTATCATGCCAAACCTCAGAAGGTAGCATGGAAACTTACTACAAACTAAAATGATTGTCAATAAACTATGGAAGTTGTACTATTATACTAGCAACCAACCTTATGTCATCATTATATCATAGTCCTAAACATACATGAAATATTTGCCACTGGATGCTTAGCAACTAACAATCTTTAATTTATCGCTATATCATGTCAAACCTTAAAAGGTAGCATGGAAACTAACTACAAATTAATTTGATTGTCAATGAACTATGGAAGTTATACTATTATACTAGCAAACAACCTTATGTCATCACTATATCATAGTCCTAAACATACATGAATTATTTGCCACTGGATGCTAAGAAACCAACAATCTTTAATTTATCGCTGTATCATGCCAAACCTTAGAAGGTAGCATGGAACTTTACTACAAACTAATATGATTGTCAATAAACTATGGAAGTTATACTATTATACTAGCAAACAACCTTATGTCATCACTATATCTCAGTCCTAAACATATATGAAATATTGGCAACAGGACGTTAAGCAACTAATATCGATAATAATTATTATGTCAAGCCGTTGAAGGTTACATGGAAACTAATAACAAATAAATATGATTGTCAATGAACAACGAAAGTTATACTATTATACTAGCAAGAGATCGTTGGCGTTTCAATGGGCAGAGTTGCCTCCCTGGAAATATCTGATATTGCTATATTTAACCATAATTATAGACATAAAACAGAGAAATATCCTACGAAAATAATATTAAATTCCACTAAAGAATGAGAATAGATGGATTTAATATATTTAATGAAGAAGGTGAACAAAGTGAACAACTATTTGAAATAGTACATTGTTGTCATTCCTTCTGAAGGTACGAGAATTCTTAGAAACAATAGCAACATGTACTAATAAGATAATCGTATAAATACGGTCTATAGTGTAAATGTCTTGAAGAATTCTCCCTAACAAAACAGTTAGGCTAAGTTAGCATAGATGCAGACAGCAACTTCGAAAGAAACCAAATATTAGAAAACAAGTGGCAGAAATATCTTGAATATCTTAACACGGTAATAACAAAAT